ACCCCCCCCAACCCCCTATTACCCCCCTATGCTACCCCTATGCCCCTCGGGGGTCTGCATGGTCGACATCTGCATGTACTTCGGTTGCGGCTGCTGATGTCAACTGGTTATTTGGTCATTTCGTAGTAGCTGAGGGATCGTAGTTCTTGGCGCTGAGCGCCAAGTAGGAGGAAGGGCTCTGGATACTTTGTTGGTGGTGGCGAGAGAGCGCTGTCATTGACAATAGAGTTTGATGCTTGGTTCTCCTTTGGTGCGATATCAGTGCATTGCTGCTTTCTGGACAGCTTTTGACGATCTAGCTTTCAATGTGATTTTGCAGTTTGGAATACTGTCATTTCGCTATTGCTCATTTTCCTTGCACAGTCCACCCTCCTCAGAGAATAAGTGAGGGAGGCGAGTTTGATGGCTAATCCTACTATCAGGGGCAATCAATGCTGTTCAGGGGTCCTTGGGCCTGTCTCTTTTCTTTTTCCCAAGCGTGCTACCTTCTTCACCCGAATACAACGCCCGGTCATTATGGCTGCATTTTGGCCGAACTTTCAGTCCAAATGCAGCGATAATGACCGGGTGTTCTATTCGGGTGAAGATGGTAGCTGTTCACATCATTGGTTAGCTATCTATTTCTGAAGGTCTCACTTCATCTTTCTGGCCGTACCTCCTACATAGTCAGAGTGGACGGCAGCCAAAGACGGAGCGCAAAGAAGTTGGATGAGGAAGACATGATGAAGGGGGGTTGTGCATAGAGAGGTAAGCTTTTTTGGAGGGGTCATAAAATGCCGCCTAGCGTTTCAAAAGGGTGCCCTGGGTGGGCTGAAATTCACACCGCGGTTTTGCAGTCAATGGGTACTCTGGAAGCCAAAGGAAGGGAGGAGTGTCCATGCATATTCTGGGAAACACACATTTTCTTGGAGAACAGAGTGTTCAGTGGTGAAGTAGATTTTTATATCAAGCCGGTAGGGGCACTTCACGCCGGATAAAGTGACCGACAAGGAGAGTTATTATCGAAAGGGAGAGTTATTATCGAAAGGTGGGAGCCTCGGGGACTACCCTGTAGGCTTTTGACGACTCTGCATGTTCTCCAGCATTTGTGTGCGGGTTATGAACTTACAGTTTCATTCTGTGGACGGATATCTTCTCAGAAAGTATGACGAGGAGCTGAGGAGAAAAAATAGTCTCAGACTGGAAAACGAACAATAACCACAACAATACTAAACTCTATAAGCAGCTTGCCAGATCTAGATCTCATGTCTAAATTAAAAACTAAAAAAAAAAAAAAAATTGATCCTAGATTTTTGCCATTATATTGTAGTGGACTCCTTCCTGAACGAGCCTACAACAACAACAACAACAACAGCAACAACAACAACAACAACAACAACAACAACAACAACAACAATAACAACAACAACAACAACAACAACAACAACAACAATGACGACACCGACACCACCACCACCACCACCACCACCACCACCACCAACAACAACAACAACAACAACAACAAAAGCAATGATAACAACCACAACCACAACCGCAACAACGTAGAAAAAGGTTTTGTTATTGTCTGCCAGGTGGTGTTGATTCTCTGTGTCCTTTGTGAGCACCATTTGCGTTGTTATCTCAATTGCGTCCTTTTTTTCCCAGATTCCCTCACCTTCTTGTTGTTTATTTCTACTTCAGTAGCACTGGATCGACAGGGAAATAGAAAGTCTGCGATGTCTGTTTGGAACTTTGGAGGCATGTTGTAAATGATGGTGTGTCTGTTGTGTTCGATTGCCGCTGCCTCAGAGGAAGCTTGTATCGAATTCTGCATAGGTCACGGAAAGAGTTGGATTGTCGGCGGCGCCTGCGCATGGCCATTGATGTGGTCAGTATTTCTGTCTTTTCTTTTCCCTTCCATTTAGCATACATGAACTCTCTCTCTCTCTCCCTCTCTCCCTCTCTCCCTCTCTCCCTCTCTCCCTCTCTCCGCCTACCTGTGCGCATATCCATGTACGGTCTCGGTGTGTGTATACATGTCTCTCTCTCATGTGTGTGGTGTCGGGGTTCGTGCGTCTGCCTCATGGTCCTGGCTCCTTTCCATTCTGGGGAGCGACAGTCCGGTTCCTATTCCACCGGCAAGTCAGAATATACATTACAATAAACATGAACCACCCACGCTTCCTTCCGTCTGGCCGAAGGACCCCTGATCAGCATTGATTGCTCCACCATGATGGAGGATTGACTGTCAGCTTGCCGTACCTCACTCTTTCCTCTCAGATCAGATAACCAGATCTGTCAGCTAGATGAATGCCACCTAGAAAGAGTTCCCCCACTGTCCCAGCTGGCCTTTGTATTCCCACTTAACCATCCGGCTCGTGGTCCACTATACCCTCTGTCCCATCTTACCTTTCGCCCTTTTTTGTAAAAGAAACGCTAAAACCCTAGACCCTGTACCCTCATCCTGAAACCCTTGTCCGAAATTCCGCAATTCTTCGTCTTCCCGCCTGAGCTGGACTTGCAATTCCATTGCTGGGGTCTTGCCTATTGACCTTGAAGTGCTATGTAGCCATCGTAGTGCTATCTCTCGTCCGTGGTATCTCCCCCCCCCCCCCTCCATGTGCGTGTGCAAGGAGGGACCTTTCTTCTATGTATGCAGTCCCTCCTCTCTCTCACACATGTGTGGTGTACGATGGGGTGTTGCGTCAGTGTCTGACAGGTCAGATCATATCTTGAGTCTTCCGCTGCGCTACATTGTGCTATTTCGTATGTATCTGGATGTGCGTTGTTTGTTGGTGCTTGGCTGACGCTGCACTGCCCATACGAGTCCTATTCATCACTTTGCGGATCCTTGGCTCCCCTCTACATTGCCCGATTGGGCATGCTTCACTGGTGTGGTGTCACCTAAGGAAATTTCCTTTTTTTTTTCTCGGGGGATTTCTGTCGCTCGAAATTAGAATTAAGAATTACCAAAGTAAGGGTACTCGGAATTTTGCACGAGCCTTTGGTACCCCTCTTGTGTTCAGTGGGCGGCGGAAGCAGTTTTCACTTACTGTGTACATTAAAAGGGCCTTTTATGATTCAGGCCCGTAAATGTGACCCCAACATAAAAGGGCCCTCTCGGATAGAAATCAATTTCACGAGCAGCATTCCAAACAACGAGTTCCCTGAGGCAAATGTCGCATCTAGTGTGAGATGAAAAGTTGTTTTGAATAGTCACAGTCAGGTCCTAGACGAACAGGTACCGGACACAGACTTCAAGACTGAGATAGGGTCATGACTGTTCGGCGATAAGTCATGTCTGTTCGGCGGTAAGTCAAAGGCCACAGTCCCAGTCCAGTCATAGCTTCACGGGTCAATCCTGATTCAGACCAGGAGTCCAAAAGACAGGCCCGAAGGCCCAAAGCAGCAGCAGACCATGGGAAAAGATACTGGGACACACACTTTGCAACAACAGGTACTGGGCAGAAGTCCCAAACACTTGGGGGCCGAATTCAGGCCTCGCCAGTCCAGCCCAGCGCTATAAAGGACTGGCCAGCCTCCTCATTGGGCAGAGGCTCATTTCGCATGAGAGTGTGGAAGTGCCGTGGCACTTGTGCGCCAGATGTGTGTGAGCTGCGCTAGGCTGTGAGCAGCGCTAAGTAAGAGAGAACTGGGGCGTTGGCTGGAAGAAAGGCAGCCATAGCTGCGCCAGCGCCTGTTAGTACATTGGTAGGGGTAGTTAGTAAGATAGACCAGTGAGAAGTATTCAGAGTGGTCCTCGTGTGATAGGGAGTGTGCATGCATGGTGAGTGTGAGTAGACCAGGACTAGAGAGAGAGAGAGAGAGAGAGAGAAGAAAGACAAGGAGAGAAGAGAGAAAAGAGAGCTATGGTGTTACTTACCTGTTGAGTGCCGTCCTTGATGATTGGCTGCTGGTGCTGTTGAGCGCCAGGTCAGGAACTCACGTTGGATGAAGAAGACTTGTATTTCTGTTGGGCGCTATACATTTTGAACTCGTGATTCTCTCTACTTAATTTGGTTGTGATCATTGAGTTGCACTTTCTGGTGACCACTCATCTTTCATTGTGCTTCGTGTGAGTAAATGCAATCTGTGTGATCTGTATTACATGCATGCTATCTGGTACACTCCAGCAAATGAAATTCAGTCCGGTTCCTTGCAACATGGGTAAGAGGCCAGCTTAGCTTTTGCTGAAATAGCGGGTTTAATTGGTGAAGATATGGGGGGTTCTCAGCTACATGCGGCCTGGGAGAGCATCGTGTGGAAAGCAAACTTCCCTCAGAGACTGGAAGAGTTCAATTGGAACTGTAGTGAAGACATCCACCCAGAGGAGAGTAAATGGTTAAATCATATTCATTACACTGATCAGGCTCATTGATGCTGTTTGTGCAGGCAAAGGGAATGAACTACCTTCACAAGCGCTCGCCGCCAGTTGTCCATCGCGATTTAAAATCGCCAAACATACTTGTTGACAAACATTGGTCTGTTAAGGTATGTGGTTGTGTGTGATGTGTGCCATGTGTCTGATGTGTGCGAAACACATATACTTCAAATAAGGGGAATATTATGGACCATGTCACCAGAGCACTCAAGCAGAAAAGCACGCATTGTGGTGAGCCAAGTCGAAAGGCAGTGCTCCAAGTGGTACACCCAAATAGACCCACTGAATGGATGAAAGATAGAGGGAAAAAAAGGCAAGTACAAAACAAAAAAACATAAAAAACTTAAAAAGAGACTGAAAAAAAACACAATGTTGATGACCGACTATTTCATGAGACTTGCACGGACGCATCAGGAGGCTGAACCCTTGACAATGTGCGGAATCCCTATGTTGCTGCTTTGAGTCATGTACCTTGAAAAGAGGAGGACTACAGGGATTGCCTGTCGAGAGGCACACAGTAGCGCCGGAGATACACATGCAGCGCAAATCAAAAGTTTTGAACAAACACGATGAGACAGCATAGCACACACCACAAGTGGACCATGGCAGCAAGGCCATGACTCAGCAAAGACCAATGCAATGTGATCGGGGCAGCCTAACTATACAACATCGAAGCTAATTGCATGGGAGTGACAGTGCAAGCGGACGGGCAGCAGGGCAACAACAGAACAAAGGACAAAGCAGCCAGACTACACAGAAAGACAAGGCACACAGATAAGCCTAGTAGCATGATCAACGCGTATGATTGTGAAATTCGTCCTCCATGTTTCTCAAATGAAACAATCCATGGAATCCTTAATTCATGTATTTAGTTCAGATTTCACCTTTCCTCCTTGTTTTCACATAACTGCATGGAGTTAGGGGTTGCTGTATTACAAGCTTATGCCTTTACTATTGTAATATTATTATTTACCTAAATGACACTTAAAATCTTCATTAAGTTAGTAACCACTTTCTCCCACTTTGTGGCCTCTCGCGATATATACGTTGTTTTCTCGAAGTGAACACTCGTGTGTTTCATAAGCCCAAGATTCATGTTGTATGCGAGCAAGGCAGGGGATCTAGACAAAGACATGCCTCTTACAATGTTGGTTGCTTTATCTGGCGCGAAACGCCCTTGGTGAAGAAAAGTCGCTAGGTGAGCATTCACGCCTTTCCAGGAGTCACGACACCAGGCTTACACTGTACTCACACTACCTCTATCGCAAATGTATCTGGCCACATTTACGACCGGACCTGGATGTATCTGACCGCAATTACGTCTTTGGATCCTATCCTGAGAAAAAAAGTCATAGTGTGAGCATGGCCTTACACCTGATAGTCCCCTAGTCCGACAGTATGATTCAGGGAAACATGTAATTTCTCATCATTTCCGAGCCTATTGAAATGACTCAACAATTTCGTTTTTTTTAAGTTTCGAGTCCTTGGCCCTTGGAGATGGATAGAACTAATCTAAAAAAAAGGGAGGGAAAACTACCGTCTTCACCCGAATAGAATGCCTGGTCTTTTTTCTTTTATTTTAATAATAAAGTTAAAGAAAGAAAGAAAGAAAAAAAGAATGCCTGGTCATTCTAGCCGTATCTGGTGCAATTTTCAGTCCAGAAGATACAGCTATAATGACCAGGCGTTCTATTCGGGTGAAGACGGTAGGGGGCAGTCACGGTTTCGGTTTGCAAATGCGCTTCGGTCACGATTTCACGAATGCTGTGCCAAAGCGAGGAATATCATGAATGTATACAACCTAGCTTTAGGGTGGGGTGGGGATGTGTTGTATTCGAGCCATAATGTTCTTGCGCAGTCTAAAGATAAACCAAAGCTAGATGTGAAGGGTTGAGGAGCTGAAGGTAGTCTGCGGAGGGCACGAAACAGTGCTTCGTGAGCAGGCAGAGGGAAGGGAAAGTCAAACTGAGATGATGCACAGCACTACCGTCTTCACCCGAATAGAACACCCGGTCGTTACAACCATACTTGGGGCAAGTTTCAGTCCAGATGCAGAGTGATTGTGACCGGGCCTTCGAATTTGGGGGAAGACGGTAGTTATTTTGTATTTTGTCTGAGCTTTCCAAACAACTACAGGACCTCAAGAACTCAGGGATCGTAGGGGCTTGAGCTGAATGTTGCATCTCATCTGTCGAGGAGAAAAAGCATCAGATGCGGGAACACTGATGGCGTCCTTAAGCCACCAGTCCATCCAAGCCTCTTTTTTTCGATCCGGATTTCTGTGGTTTGCCCAAAAAGAAGGAACCCGTGCGTGTGTGAAATTGTGTCTTTTTGCCTTGTGCCGCCAGCCTTTTCCGCCTGGTACGCCTGGCCCGCGATTTTGCGGTGGGCTAATTGCCCTGATGGAGCGAAATAGCTGGGAAACGATCAGGGGTTTTAAAATTCCAGGACCTACAACAGCGCCTTTTTTGAAACATGGAGGTCATACTGATAATTTGCAAGTTGGGGAGAGCATGCCTGATTTTTTTTATTTTTTTTTTGACTGTGCAAAAAGCATGCGGCCTCTCGGCCATGAGAAACAGGGCCCCGCCCGATGTCAGACAAAAGGCCTCTAGGCCCTTCAAAGATTCAGGGCATCGCACCCAACCGAAACAAACCCTGCCCTGCTGGAGAAATGGTTGCGACCTGTGTGTGACCGGGAACTTCCCTGCTCGCGCACAACGGCCTACACATCGCACAAGGCCTCTCGGTCAGTCAGGACGCAGGAAACATCGTGAGCCATGTTTGGCAGTTGAGCCCTTAGCCGACCCAGTCCGGCAGTTGAGCCCTTAAAGCACAAGTAGGCGAAGAGTTTCTTTTCAGCAAGGCTGGGGCCGTGTACTAGCGGTTTAACTGACCGAGTCCAGGGCACATTCCAGAAGGGCCCTGGGCGCAGAGACTGGAAGAGGCCCAGAGGCTTCTGGGTGGCCAGGCGACTTCATTATACGGAAGCGCTGGCTGCCAGTCAGACACGTTCTGGCCTGGAAGCTCTCATGTGAGCGCTGCCTCTATGCACACTCGCAGGCACGTGTGCTGAAGCTGGCTGGGCTGGGGCTGAAGCGCTGGCATGGTGCAAAGTGAAAGCTGCCTGGGTGCAGCTTGGTGGGCAGAGGCCATAGCCAGGCGGCTTGTTGGCTTACACTGGGAGCTGGTTGAAGTCGTGCTCCTCGGGCATTGAGGATACCCTTCCGTTTATAAACTTCAGGAGGCTTACAACGTTTGATTCTGGCAGCAAATTGTGTGACCTTTTGTCGGTCTAGTGTGGGTGGAGGGTGATTGGGCGCTTACCTGGTGATGGTGGTGTTGGTCGGTGAAGCTGAAGTCTCCATTCGTCATCTGGAAGCTGAACTTCATGAAAACCATGTTGACGTCATTAGTTGGATAGGCTAGTGCATAGGTGTTGTCCGATCGTAGTCTGGGCGCCATGCGCCATGACAGTAGAGCGGCATTGGATACTACAATGATGGTGGTGGCGAATTGAGGGCTCGCATTGTCATTTGCGTTCACTGTTCTGCTCTTATTTGGTGTATACTTGGTGCAAACTTCTTTCTGTTCGAGCCCATTGCTTTCTGGCTTTCAATGAG